AGAGCTGGGGAAGCTTCTTGGATGAGAAGCGAAACGTCTTCGAAGAAAAAAACCCCAAAAAGTCCAGTTGCCTCTTGAAAAATAAAACACCTTTGGGATGCCGGATGACTGAGGATCTCCATAAGACAGTGGAACGACTTGCCACTAGAAATTGTGGATGCTCAATCACTGGAGGTTTTTAAGATGAGATGGGGACAACCATTTGCCTGTAACGGTACAAGGGTTTCCTGCTTGAACAGAGAGGGGGGTGGACTAGAAGGCCTCCAAGGTCCCTTCCGTTATTCTATAGTAAATAAATATGCTACCATTAATAATAATCATCGTGGTGGTGAGGAGCCCTCGGTGAGTGGGTTGGAAATTACACCGGCGACTGGCAGTCGCCACATTTTCTCCCCCAGGGGAGGCACGCCAGGCGCCCCTTCGGCTGCTTCTTCGGAAATGGCTGGTGTTTGTGTGAATGCCCCTGGGGGGGGCAATTAAGGGTGAGGAGGAGCCCCCCCCCACATCGGGACTGCAAAGGGCACCAGATTTCTCTCTCACTTGGGTGGGGGCAAGAAATTGCAGCAGCTCGAGATTCACCTCCAGCCCGCTTTACCCGAGGGGGGTGGGCGGGGGGGGGGGCCTCCAGACCCAGATTGTTCAACACACAAACACACAACAGACACACACACACACAAGGCAAACAAAGGCTTTTGTTATTGTTTTTCTTAAAAATCCTTTCTCTGCCTTCCAAAGAGCCGGGGCACTGCCCATCCTAGAAATAAACATCACGTCATCCTTGCTTTTTTTCCTAGCGGCCCCCCCCCCCGCTCAACACCTGCCCCCCTGCTTCTCCACCCTAGAGGGAATGGGGGGGGGCGGAAATCCCTTCCGATGAGGATCGCTGTTAGCTTTGCACCCCTTCCGAAAAGTCTTAAAGATCCGGTCTCTCCTAGCCAGGCCAGAAACTGGGCACGCCCGTGTAGGTGACGGGGTGGAGGGTTGGCAGAGCAATTGAAGGAAGGGGCACCAACCCCCTAGGAAGCGGCAAGAAATATAAGAGATGCCTGTACCTTTAGCACAGGTAAGTCCCTCCCAACTACCTGCCTTTAGGATAGGATGGTTAAGAAAGGACCCGGGTTGCAAATGGGCGAGGACGGGTGGCATTGCTAAACTCTCCCCCTTTCCCCACCCCTCCCTCCCTCCCTCCCTGGAGAGAAGGGGCCTCCTTTTCTCCAAGGCCTTGCAATTTGCTTTTTTTTTTTTTTTGCAAATCTCATTGGCATCCACCGTTAAGATGACACCAATTCTTAAGAGGAGGGGGAAAAAAAACGCTAGAAAAGAAAGGATGGAGGGAAGGAGCGGAAGGAAGAGTCTTTCTAGACCACCAGGCCCCAAGGTGCTGGTGATGATTGTGTAGGGCTGGCGGCTGTGTCTATTTTGTGTAGCATTCTTTATCTCTCTGTGTGTGTGTGTTTTTCTCAGCATCTCTCGATCCCGCAGGGATCATTTTGCAAAGATGCTCCCGGTCAAGAGGCTTTCGGGGGGGGCTATAGATCCCACACCACGCGAAGGCCCAACCAGATCAGAGAAGGGGGGGTGCAGTTGTGCAACGCCGCAACGCCTCCAGGGTGATTATTTTGGGGGGGGGCGGAGGGGAATCTGCCAAGCAAGCCTCGATCGTTGGATCGAGAGCAGAGAGAGAGAGGGATGGATCCCCGGCCTCTGAGCAGAGCAGGGCCGGGGGGTTTTTGCAGCCGAGGAGGAGGAGGAGGATGCCGGCCTATGGGGGGGGCATAAGGCCTTCCGCGGAGCCGGCACTGCGCAGCGGCCTTTCTCTCCCCCCCCCCCCGGTGCAACTCACCGAAGCTGGGGCGGACGCTGGCGATCTCGGCCATGGCAACCGGCGTTGGAGCAGGAGCAGGAGAAGCGGCGGGGCGAGGCGCTCCGGAGGCGGCCTCCCCCGTCCCCCCACCCCCCGAGGCGGCTGCGGTGCTCGCTTTGGAAAAGATGCTCTCGCCCGGCTTCTTTCCCCCCCCCCGAGCGATGCAGGAGAAGAGCGGAGCGAAGCGAAGTAAAAAACTGGTCCTCGGCTCCGCCCCTTTCGAACGAAGCCCGGACAAGCGCCGCCCCGTTTTGGAACGAAGCCCGGGCAAGCGCCGCCCCCTTTCGAACGTTGGGGTTCTTTTTTTTTTTTTAATACCAGACTCGCTTTCGCTGCGCGCTTTGGAGACGCCCGGGAGAGTGACTGGGCAAGCTTGGGCCGGGCGGTGGATTATGGGTCTCTGCGGAGTTTTTTTTTTTTTTTTTTTTTTTTGCGTGTGGGTGTGAGAGAGAGAGAGAGAGACCCCCCCCAAATGGGGTTGGCCCTGGGGATTTAGGCCCCCTTGCAAACCCCAATGTATCTTTCTAATAGCCATTTTTTTAAAAAGAACTTTTTCATTGATTTCCCCTTCTTCCTTGTCCTCCTCCACTCGGCTGGGTTTCTGAGGATGGGCTTTGTCGTACTTGAACTATGGGCTTTGCAGTACCCGTGGCGTTGGGAGAATTAACGGCGGGTTTTCCTTCTTTTAATGCATCTTTCTAATAGCCATTTATAAAGAGGATTTTTTCATTGATTTCCCCTTCTTCCTCCTCCTCCTCCACTCGGTTGGGTTTCTGAGGATGGGCTTTGTCGTACTTGAAGTATGGGTTTTGCAGTACCCGTTGCGTTGGAGAATTAACGGCGGGTTTCCCTTTTAACCTGCAAACCCAATGCATCTTTCTAATAGCCATTTTTAAAAAGAACTTTTTCATTTATTTCCTCCTCCTCCTCCACTCGGCTGGGTTTCTGAGGATGGGCTTTGTCGTACTTGAACTATGGGCTTTGCAGTACCCGTGGCGTTGGGAGAATTAACGGCGGGTTTTCCTTCTTTTAATGCATCTTTCTAATAGCCATTTATAAAAAGAACTTTTTCATTTATTTCCCCCTCCTCCTCCTCCTCCACTTTTTGAGGATGGGCTTTGTCGTACTTGAACTATGGATTTTGCAGTACCCGTTGCGTTGGAGACTTAACGGCGGGTTTTCCTTCTTTTAACCTGCAAACCCAATGCATCTTTGTGCAATCCAATAGCCATTTTTTAAAAAAATAACTTTTTAATTTCTTTCCCCCCTCCCCCTCTACTGGATTACTGAGGATGGACTTTGTAATACTTGAACAAAGTATGCAGTTTTTCAGTACCGTTGCATTGGCGAATTAACCCTTCTTGAACGTGCAAACTTTCTAACAGCCATTTAAAGGTGTGGGGGCGCATTTAAAGAAGTTTTTAATTTCTTTCCCTTCCCCAACTCGGCTGGGTTTCTGAGGATGGGCTTTGTCGTATTTGATCTATGGGTTTTGCAGTACCGTTGCGTTGGAGAATTAACACGGGTTTTCCTTCTTTTAACCTGCAAACCCAATGCATCTTTCTAATAGCCATTTTTAAAAAGAACTTTTTAATTTCTTTCTCCCCTCCTCCACTCGGCTGGGTTACTGAGGATGGACTATGTAATACTTGAACTACGGGTTTTGCAGTACCCGTTGCATTGGCGAAGTAACCCGGGTTTTCCCTTCTTTTAACGTGCAAACCAAATGCATCTTTTTAGTAGCCATTCGGGTATAAAGAACTCTTTTTAATTTCTCCCCTCTCCTCCCACCTTCACTTGGTTACTGAGGATGGACTTTGCAATACTTGGGACTATGGGCTTCGTAGTGTCCTTGCAGTGGCGAACTAACGTGGGTGTGTTACCTTCTTTAACCTGCAAACTCAAGTGCAACTTTCGAATAGCCTCTGTTGGAAATTGCAATATTGTAAAAATATTTCTCCCTATTGGGAAAGAAAGCCCACTGGGAACTGATGATAGATTGCCTTCTTCCCTCCTGGGCTTTAATGTATGTATGTATTTATTTTATCCTGGACCCAGATTATGTATTTTATTTTATTGATAAGGCCGCAAGACTAATCAATTAATAAAGTATTCTAATAGCTTTTCGGGGGGTTGCATTTAGTAAAGAACATATTAATATATTCTTTTCTCATCCAGCTTTGTTTGGTTTTAAGGGCGTTTTCTGATTTTGGGCCGTTGTTTTTAGGTAGGAAGGATGGAAGCCTGGAGGATTTGCTTTCAAGTAAATAAGGATAATCCTTCCCGAGCTGAAAATTCTGCACTTATTACCTGTTTTAAATGAGGTTCAACGTTAGCTCGAGGAAGATTTTTTTTACAAGTCTTGAGGTCTGATATTTTTTTAAAAATTCGGGGCCATGCAACAAATGGGATAATGAATCAGGGAGAAATGCAGCAAATAATAATAATAATAATAATAATAATAATAATAATAATAATAATAATAATAATAATAATAATAATAGAGGAGGCCTGGAGCAATTCAAGAAAAAATAATAAATGGATGGCATATTCAGGTCCTGGGTCGCTGTAGGGGAAAGAAAAAACTTTGCATCCTAAAACAACTGCGAAAATGCAAAAGCAAATCCTAAATAAATGGATTAATCCGAATAATATTGCAAAGAGCTAACAAGCAAAGGAAGCCTAGAGGGAGCCCAATGACGTCAGAGGCCTAGGCCCCGCCCTCGGGGGGGTCACGTGGGTTCCCAAGGTCGGGAAAAACAACCCGCAAAAAAACGGCCGTGCCAGCAATCAATATGGCGTCCTTCGCTTCCTCCAGGAAGGCCCCTTCCCTTTTTTTAAAAAAAAAGAAAAATTCGCCCTTTTAAATCCTGAAGGGCATTTCGCGAGACGCCGACCGCCCTCCGGCCCCTCCAACTCAAACCCTCGGCGTGAAATATTCCGCCGACCGTTTCCTCCCTCAAAAGTCCCGCGGCCCGCACGA